AGCTAAGGACGGGGTGAAGACGGGTTTTGCATATAATTCCCCGAACTTGATGGTAAATTAGTAAAATATTCCTAGATTTAATATTGATTTTTTAAAATATCTCTAAGTTTTCCCTAAATACTTAAAATCCCAGGATCCCATAATTCCATTTCTAAAGTACCCCCAAATTGTATTAATTCAATTCCTAAAATACCCCCAAATTCCTAATCCTATTTGTAAATTTTCCATAAATTAAATAATATTTAGGTGGTTGCCTCGGGTAAGGAAAATTTAGGGATTCCCTGTCCCACCACTGGGCATGGGGGCAGAATATCTTGACTACGGGGCAGGGATGGGGAGGGGGTGCCCTGCCCAGCCATCGAGGATAGGGTGGGGATGGGGCAAAATATCTTGACTATGAGGTAGGAATGAGGAGGGGGTGCCCCGCCCCACCACCGAGGATAGGGTGGCGAGGCAGGGCACCCTCTCCTCGTAGCCATTCCTAATTTTTTTTTTAAATTTCAACAAGAAATTAAGCTTGATCAAGTGTCTCAAGTTGAAATTGGCAATTTGGGAGACTTAAAAGCTTTGCATTCAAGTTGAAATACCAAATCAATAGACCAGACTCCGAGGACCGAAGTGCAATTGTTGGGTTATTTGAATTTTCTTTTATAAATTTTAGATTTTAATATTTATTAAAAATTTAAAATGGTTGGTTCCTCTCATATCTCCTTTCAAACCCAATCTAATGTTGGCTTTAGTAATTTTAGGGTACTAATAAAGAAAATCGGTGATGTTTGAAACTATTTTACTATGATGGATGTATTGGGAAAGGGCATAAGAGCAATTTGCATTAAATGTAAATGTGATTTTTACTATCAAAGTCAGAGTAGTATTGGCACTAGGGGTAAGCAAATGGGTAGGTTCTACCCGGAACCGAATGGAACCAACCCTACCCAGTTTGCCACAGGGTAGGGTTTGGTTCCAAATTCTTGGAACCAACCCCCACCCAGGCCGATTCTAGGGCCTAAGGGTTTACCCTACCCAAACCAACCTTGGTATCGACCTTACCCAATTTGTCACAAGGTAGGGTTTAGTTCCAAATTCTTGGAACCGACCCCCACCTAGGTCGATTCTAGGGTCTAAGGGTTTACCCTACCCGAACTGACCTTGGTTGGCCTTGGTGGAACCTGCCTTGCCTTGAAATAAACCCCAAAATACTTTTGGGGATGTGAAGATTTGAACCCAAGCACTCATAGTTACAAAGGCCATGATCTCACTTGACCATTGAGTTACTTAAGTTATTTGATCATTTGTTTTTTTTTTAATATTTGAATGTGTACAATATAAGTAATGTAAAAGGTAATATTTACAAAATTTAAATTTAAATTATAAGCTTTGAACCATATAATGATAATATACATATTAAGTTACTAAATTTAATTAATAAAGATAATATAACTTTTAAACTATATATTGACCCCGAAACCACCAAGGCTAGAACTGACCTTCACAAGGTAGGTTCTAATTCCAAAAACTTGGAACTGAACCGAACTAAACCATGCTCACCCCTAATTGGCACTGGCCATTTGAAAAGACATCTAACAGTCTGTTAGCTATCCAACATAGGAAATTTTGATATTTTAACTTGGTGGAAAGTACAAGAAAATAATTATCCTATATTTATCGCTATGGCACGTGATCAACCCCTTTGGTATCTACAATAGCATTGGAATCTTGTTTTAGTGTAGGAAATAGAGTGTTGGGTGAAAGGAGGAACTGGGTGATTGGTGAAACATTGGAGATGTACATTTGTCTAAAAGATTAGTTTGATGTAGAAGATAGACTTGAAGAAAATTTAGATTATAATAAATTTTGAGATTTTCATCAATTTTATTTTTACCTTGTAAGTTATTTGTAAATTTTTATTTTCTATTTTGTTAGAGCATTTTCAATTTCATTGTATTTTTTTTTTTCAATTTTATTTAACTAGTTTATATTTTTATTGCATGAACTTGATTATTCATATAGAATAAATTTTAAGATTATTTTTTTTTTCAAATTGTTGTTACAACTTACAATCATTGAATTTGTCATTTTTTCTCCAAATTTTCTTTTTTCTTTTATTTTTTGTTTTTTGCTTTTTTTTTGTAGTGAAAACAAAAAAAAAAGAAAGAAAATAAAAAATATGGCCCAACTCAGCCCAAGGCCCACTCCCACTTGTTACTATTCCCAACTATACAAATTCATAAAGATTTATGAGGTGGACTGAACAATAAAAGCCTTCCTAGTCCATTACATCATATATTCTTACCAAATTGTCATTATACTGAACAAAAATAAGTATGAAATGTAAGAAGCATTTTTATAAATGATGAAAATGGAATGCCAAAATTAAAATCAACCTAGAAATGAAAATAATGTTATAGTCAAATAATAAAATTTAAAAAAATAGAAAATACAAAGAATCACAAAAATAAATTTTGTGCATAAGATATAATGTTATATATTTATAAAAAATAAAATATTGGGTACATCTATAATATTATATTGAACAAAAATAAATATTATACATAAGATATAATTTTATCAATAATGGAAATGCAATACAAAATTTAATGTCAACCTAGAAATCAAACTTTTCTTTGGGTCATGGGTTAGTGGTTTAGGTCAAGTTGATTGATTGATGATAAGATAGTTAAATAATAAATATTTAAAAAGTAATAAAAAAGTACAAGTAATCAAAATAATATATAAAAAATTATATACTAATTATGTCAAACAAAAATTAAGTGTAATAAGCAAAAATTATTTATATAATGTAGATGAAATATATAATTTAAAATTGATCCGAAAGTAAATCTATTTTCTTGTCTAAATGATGGGTCAATGATCCAACTTTTCAAATAAATTCATGATGTCATAATTGAATAATAAGTATTTAAAAAAAGATTGAACACAAAAAATAAAAAATTACAGAGTTTTGACAAAGAGATTTTTGGAGCATTTCTAATGTTATATAATCATCATATTAAATAAAAATTATTTTTATTTAAGACAGAAATTGAATACAAAATTTGGTAGTAGTAGTAGTAGTAGTAATAATAGTAACAATGTAATTTAAAATTTCTGCATGTACACATTTAATACAAATATTTAAGTTTATTTTTAGTCATGTTATTACCTTTATTCATTTTCAATTTATATCTTAATTATGATATATTTAAAATTTAAGTAATTAATATGAAAAAAAAATCATAACGTATGATATTGCTGATCGTCACAAACAATTCATTTAATGGTGTTGTTCCAATGGAGATCGGAAAGTGCATTTTATTTTCGGTTCCAGTGGAGATCGCAAACAATTCATTTAATGTTGCTGATCCTTTGTAAGTTTGTATAGATAATCACCTATTAAAAAGGTATAAATAATAACTCATTCTTCAATCATTTTATTTCAATTGTTAGCACTTAGCTGCTTAGAAGAAAGAATTTGGAGAAGCTAAAAAATGGGTAAATCACCAGCTATCATTTATGTAACCATGAATATGAATTACAGGCCGACTTTGGATACACCCATCGTATGGCTACTGACAAAGTCTTGACTATCTACTTTGCTTCACAAATCACAAGTCAAAAGAAAATGCAGCCTACTACTTGGAAGGTGGAATGAATTGTCCTCAATTTGTGTTAACCTAGTTAATTATTAGGTCCAATCTGTCTGCACCGTATGTGCCCACATTCAATGGGTAACCCATTTATTAATATTGATGAATCAAGAACAACGTTACATGCTATCAGCTTCAGTAGTACTTCTGTAGCCACGACAGTCTTAGTTCTTGCATAGTTGCATGCATCCCTTTGCATCTTTCTTCTTCTTGTTCTTCTGAGCATGGAGTGCTTTGGAATTAGCAAAATTTGCTCATCTTGGATATATATCGAGGCAATGGCATCATGACACAGACGTTGTCACAAGGCATCCCATCTTCTGTGTTTAGAGTTGTGCATGATGGGCGTTACCATGCATATCCCATGGTTCTCGAAGCTAGCCGGAATCTCTCCGGTGAATCGGTTGTTGCAGTGAGAAGTTACTCACACCACAAGAGAGAAGTTACTCGCTAGAGAGACAAATCCGGATATCGGAGATTCTGTGGGAGAACATTAGAAATTTCTTTCGGAGAGAAAAACAAAGGCTAGTATATTTTCAATGAAGTCTCGAGGTAGAAGATAATGAACAGTGTCTTCTTTTGAAGGGTAGTTTTGATATTATCAAAAATTTTAAGTTGTATATGTCATCACCTGATGAGATAACTAACATTGATTACCATAAAGACCAATTTAACACTTTTTGAAAGTTTGAGCATTACAATAACACGTTTAAAAGTTTGGATACTAATTTGACACTACCCCAAAGTTCAGGGAACTAAACTGAAGTTTATATTTTTTTTTTGAAAGAATGACTAATCAGCCCATAGCCACACGGGCTACTAGTAGACTATGTGGTGTGTGTGGGGGGGGGGGGAAATAAATCAACTTAAAATAAGAGAAATTTTGGGATAATGATTCATAACAAGAAAAAATTTAAAAAATAAATATTTTTGTGAGAAGTAATTATATAGGTATTTTGAATATTTTTATGTCTCTTTTTTTTAAAGAAGGAGAAATGATTTATGCCTTTTTTTAAAAGAAAGGGATGTGCAATTACCAAATTTTTGTGTAGGTTTCAGCAACAATTTTCATCAATGTACCCTAAAAATTAAAATTAAAATATTATACTATTGAATTATCTTCACTAGGACTAGGCTATTTCAGGGAAGATTCCGTACCGTCAATCATACTGGTCATCAGAGACTCCGGTAACGTTGAAGGGGTATTTCGGGCAGCTCGAATACCTGACCGCGGGCAGCTTTGAGTTCATTGCCTTTTCGTGGGCGAAGACCAGGCGTTATGATTGGTGTGAGCTGTTGAATTCTATGCTCGTTTCAGACCATTTTCACTTCAAAACAAGGTAATCATTTAGAAAATTGACAGTTCAATGGTTAATACAAACAACAAATACACATTTCTTTTTCCTTCTCGCCCCTGCTACTGTTCTCTTCTTTGGTTAAGTGTGTATCTCACGAACTTTTCGGAAGCAGAATTTTCTGGGTTCACGTTATTATACTTGGGATAGTTCTGGATTGATGAAAGCACACTATTTTTTATCTGGGTATGCTTGTTTTGTGAATTCAAAATGCTTTCTTTTCTTTTCTTTTCTTTTCTTTTTCTTTGATGCCTGGTGAATAGACTGGTTCTGGTTGGTAGTAGACTTCTCTGCTGGTTTTCATGACAGCTTTTCACACAGACTGGTTAAATTTTGAATTTGAAGAAGAAATTATGAACTGGGTTATGTCTGGAACTTATTTATCACTGGACAGAGTTTATGCGTTCGGGGACTTTATTTTACTGAAATGTGAAAACATGAATTTATGATGTAAAATGTGAAACTTTCTACTATTAATATCATGGGTGTTATTTATTTTCTTTTTGTTTTTTTATCATTTTAGTGGAAAGATATGGGGGAACCATTTTTTTTTATGGTTTTGGTTTCTAACGCTAAAAATTGTTTGTATTTCCGTTCTTTACTTCTTCTCCTGGAAATTTTTAGATCTCTACTGGAAATGTTTCCTTTACTCTCTCTCTCTCCTTTTCCCTGGTTATTTTGCGGAATTGATTAAATTCTCAGGAAAAAAAATCACAGATTCAATGATGGACAAACCAAAGCCCTTTATCATATTTTTCATATATATATTTTTCATAAAACTCGGCTCAACTCAGCAACGCCTTAATCCCAACTATTTGGGGTCAGCTACACGAAATCTGTCTTAGGCATTGAACCCTATCAAGAACCATGTCTAATGCCCTAAAATTGCATATAGCAAGCAATTCAGGATTGATACTCAAATGGAGTTGAAAGGTTTTTATGCTGGTTCCTGACCTGACACAACTCTCCTTTATCCGGGCATCACACTCTCCTTTCTTCCAACATTTTTCTTGTGCATTTTGTTCTTTCAAGTGGAGAATCATGTTAACTATTATCATCTATTTGGTGGCTTATTTTATGTTAAGTTTCCAATTACCATAAACCAAATCTTCCATTAGCGCTTCTCATTCCATTTCTTAGATGCATATTTATTTATTTGTTTGTTTTTTATTTTTAGCTTGTTTGCCTCAATCTATCTACTACTTGAAGTTGTGAATGGTCCATCACTTCATATTGACTTCCGATGAGAATTATATGTTAAGAGACAATTGTTCCATATATTCTGGTCAGCAAATCATTTTAGTGAGGTCTAATAAAGTTTATTGGAGTGACTGTTTTTTAACTTCTTGTTTTCTTTACGTAGATACTAGGTATTCATGAAACAATCTCAATTGGTTGATAATTAGTTGGTAAATTTTATTGAAAGTAAGAGAAAAAAGGTGAAATGTCAGGTCTGCAGACTAGGGAACAAAACCCAGAAAACCCTCTCTGAGAGATCTGCAATATCATTGTAAGAGAAACATGATGAACCTCCATTATTCTGGTACTCTTGAGGGAATTCCCTCTATATAGAAAATCCCTTCTTATCCCTTATTTTTTCATGATCTATTCAAGCAAGATGTTTAGTTTGGATACCAATGATGAATGATCTAGTCTTGCTAATGAAATTGCAAAGGGGCCGCAGTCCTATTTTACATAAATCTATCTGGTCACAATCTAGTAAACAACCTCAACCTCAACCATATTGAACCCCATAGAGAAGAACCATCTAAATTATTGGAGAAAATGGATCAATTTAAACAATAAATATACAATAAGTTCTAGTATTTTGAATAGTACAAATTATGTACCAAATAAATAGTACTACATGTACTGGTAAAATCTTGGGCTGGTAAGCATTGTAATGTGGATTTGAGTCTGAGAGTGGCCACTTTGTGTGAAAAAGTGCCTAAGGTTAGGACAGTATCCAGTATAAGTATACCCCTCCCAAGACTCCAGATGGCCAGAACCAACTTTGAGTTATGGCCTTATGTACCAAATAAATAGTACTCAGAATCTGAAATCAAGTTTTATAAGATGCAATAGCAGCAACTGTACCAAATTTGAATAGCAAGAATTCCATTAGCATCATAAATATATTATATCTAAAAAAACTGTAGTGATACAGTGGACCAGACCTGATATATTTACTTGTGGTCCCATAAGTTCAGTTTTTTGTTGCTTATTTTTGTTTTATGCTTGCTTTCTTGTACCGTTATAGGTAGCAGGGCATTTTTGTCCTTTTACCTAATGTTATGTTAAATACATATAAATAATACTACTTAAGGTGGCAGTAATAGAGCATTCTGCCCCCATTCCTCTCCCATTCTTCTTCGCTTTTCTTCTCTCTTCTTCTCTCTTCTCTTTCAATTTCTGGGTTATTTTTCAACCTAAAAGTTCTGCTAACAGCAGTAACTTCAAGTTGGTATCAGCGCAGGTTTAGTTCTGCTCATGAATCTCACGTGAGCTCTTCCTAGCCGGGTTACATGAGATTTTAATAGGGCTGGAGATTTAGTTCTCTTCGTGGCCCGATTCTTGGAGATTGGTGGAGTTCGAAGCTTGCCCATGACACTTCTGTTCTTGGAGATTGCCTAGCAGTCAGGAAGAATCATAAAAAAGTTAATTTGAGGTGAGATTTAGGGTTTAAATCTCAGGTTGAAGGTGCCACCCTGAAATTTCTGGGTAGTCTTTTCAACTCTCCTAAAGTTTTGTAACAGGAGGTAGGGTTTTTGAAATCTCTATGAGGAGCAGCTGCTCTTTTTTTCATCTTTCTCCAAGACTGTTTCTACGATTTCCTTTAAAAGCAATATATCTACTAGATTGTTGTCCCTATTCTCAGTTTTGTTTTTTTTTTTCTATTCGAAAGGGGAGTCGAGCGTGTTCTTTTTCTTCTCTATGTTGAGCTCAGCATGGAGTTCTTTGGGAGTGAACAAAAACCTGCTGGAGAAGTTGCTAAAAGGGCTGTTAGTATGACTGATAACAACCCTTTTCAGATTACCACAATCAGGTTTGATGGTTCAAACTATTTGAAGTGGACTCAATCTGCCATGATAGCCATTGGAGGAAGGGGAAAGTTAGGCTATGTGACTGGAGACACTAAGGAACTATCCAAGGAAGACCCTTCCTATGCAAAATGGATTCAAGAAAATTATCTTGTGATGACATGGTTGTGCAACTCGATGCAGCCCCATATTAGCAGAAATTACCTTTGGGCAAAGACAGCCAAGGATTTTTGGGATAATATGAAAGAGACGTACTCACAACCACTTGATGTGGCTAGGGTTTATGAGTTGAAAACTGAAGTGAACAATCTGAAATAGGGGGAGAAACCTGTATCAATTTATTTCTCTACTCTAAAATCCTTATGGCACGAGATAGATCACCTTGAAACAATTGAGTGGGAGAGTAATAAGGACGCAGCAACTTATAATAAGTTGGTTGAGAGAAGTAGAGTTTTTGAGTTTCTTGCGGGTCTGAATTCTGATTTTGACATTGTTAGATAACAGCTTCTCACTAGGGAAAATGTTACCTTGTTTCAAGCCTACTCCCTAGTGCACAGTGAAGAGAGTAGGAGGGAGGTTATGCTACAAAATTCTCAAATGGAGGTAACATTAGGAGCTGCAAGACATAAGTATAGTGGTGAGAGGGAGAAAGAGATGAAGAATGAAGGAAAAAAATGTGTGTTTTGTGAGTATTGCAAAATACCTAGGCACACAATTGGAAGATTCATCCCCAATCTTGTACCAGAAAGACTTAAAAATAAGAAGGGAAATGCAAATGGAGCTGTTACATCAAATGGTTCTTCCCTTCTGGGACCTCGGTCTACTTCTTTGGAGGCCTTAGGTGTAGTCAAGGCAGCTTTGACTCAGTTGGAGAATGAAGCTAGACTTGTAGGATCATTTCATCCTACCTCTGCTACCACTGCACCTCCTTCCCCCACATCAGCTTTTGGCCTTTTGCCCACTTAGGTACAAGAGCCATTGCTTTTCATGCCTCTACTCCAGGTAACACTAACCCTACTTGGATTATAGACTCGGGTGTATCATATCATACATAGTTTTCAAGGCATCAAGGCGAGGCTAGGTGTCAGGGGGGCACCTAGTCGCCTAGGCGCCCGCTAGGCAATGGATTTTTTTATATAGAAAACATAGATCCTAAGGTAGTTCCCTAGGTACCATAGCCATATTTCCTTAATAATTATTCATAATTTTCATAAGAAAAGTATAGAGTTCATGTTAAAGTGTAGAAAATTGTTAGAGTTAGTAGATGTTCAAGACTGCTATCAGTCTTGAACCCTAATAGATTTCAGGTTCGAAAAAGGAGAAAAAGGTATAGAGGAGAGAGGAGAAAGAGTAGAGAGAGAGCAGTAGGACACAAGAATTGAAAGGAAGGACAGAATCTGAATGTTCTGCCGCTGCCACTTCTATTTAGTATTTATAKGTTATGCTAGTTACATGAAAGGACAAATCTTCCCTTGGTATTTACATAACAYATAAAACAATATAAAACTGAAATATAAATAACAACTGGAATAACAAATTGACCATCAGCTAACCCTAGGATGACTAGGGCACATTCTACCCTACGGACAGAGTGGGACCACAGCTGTGGGGCCCACATCAGTGTTCTCTACAGAGTTGACTAAACAGGGGCATTTTAGTCTTTTCCATATCAATAATGTATGAGTTATATGCCTTCTGTCTAGATAGGGGCATTTTTGTCCTTGTACACTTATTTACTAAGTCTAAATATATGGTCGACTAGGTTAGACTCTTTGTCTTCTCAGTTTGACACTTCCTCCTTTCTTCTTCTTCTTCTTCTCTCTCTCTCCTTTCTCTGTCTTCTCAGTTCGGCTGAAAACTAACATGGTATCAGAGCGCCACTAATAGAAGTCAACTGCAACTTTCTTCTCTCCTTCTTTCTTTTCCATTTTTTTTCTAGTGTGAGAAATCTGGGTTAGAGGACTGCGAAGAAACCCAGGTTTCTGTGGCAACATCTAGGGTTTCGGTGGGTTAACTTCTGGTGACAGTAGACGACTGTAGCAGTTCGAGTGAACAAGAATTTTTTTTTTTGTCTGTGAGTGACAGTTGTGGTGGTCGAGTAGGTGTAGTAGTTGTGGTCTGAACCATCTAATGAGTAGTTTCAAG